AAGTTGGCAGTTCAAACCCACCAGCACCTCCTCGGAAAAACTATACAGGGTCTCTATGAGTTAGAACCAACTCAGTGGCACTTAACAACAAAATATATATATTCACCACACTATAGAACATTTAAAGAGAAAGGAAAACACGGGACTAAACAAGTGCCACGTGTCATATTAACAAAGATCTCACAAGCTTTCTATGTCTTTAAAACTATATTTAATGCTGTATTTGATAAAAACACAGGGTCACCATGAGTCAGAATTGACTCAATGACAGTTTTTTTTAATGACCAAAGTTCGTATTATTAAACGAATTTTGAATAGTAATGATACTGTGTAAATCCAGAGAATAGCAATCAACCATCACATTGCTATTTTCCTTATCAGTTTGTTGTTGGTATTTTGCCTTGGAGCTCTGGTAGCGTAGTGGTTACAAATCGGGCTGTGAACCGCAAGGTCAGCAGTTCAAAACTACCAGCTGCTCTCCGGGAGAAAGATGAGGCGTTCTGCTCCCGTAAAGATTTACAGCCTCGGAAACCCTGTACAGGGTCGATATGAGTCAGAACCTACTCCACGGCACACAGCCACCACCACCACCACCACCACCAGTAATTTAAGAGCTTTATAACTGCTGATGGACATTTTGGGAGGACTACAACCAGGAAGAAGACCTTTCTTGAGCTTCCTAAACTTTGAACCTGTTAGTCAAGGCCCTTCACAGCTTGCGTGTGAAGCAGTTTTCAATGTTGAAATTCCTAGTCTTACTCTTCCTCGAGTCTAAATCATAAACACATAGGAATTGTAAATATGTAGGAATTGGTCTTTCTCCATGAAGATGTTCATGAAAACAACAATAAAATTGGGTGTAGTTTTGGTTCCCATTTGAATACCTGTGTAACTCTTTGTTTATGGGGTATTTATTTGTTCTGACTTGCATTATGGGCATTTCTGCTGTTGTTTCATCTGTTGTATTAGAATATAAGTTTTCTGAGGGCCAGAACTGTGTTTTCTCATTTTTGTTCCACTTGTAAGGATGTTGTGCTCATATTAGTTGTTAAGTTCCATTGAGTCAGTTCCTACTCAGGAATCCTGGATAGGGTTTCTAAGGGGCTGCTGATGGGTTTGAACTGCTGACCTTGTAGTTAGCAGTCAAGTACTTATCCTACAGTTTTACACCAGGACTCCCGTTGGGGGTTGTTGTTATTGTTGCTAAGTGTCATCGAGTCAGTTTTGACTCATAGAGACCCTGTGTAGGCTTTCTGAGGAGCAGCTGGTGGGTCTGAATTGATGTATGGGGTTGGTGAGTATTTATTTACACAAGGATCTGAGGCCTTAACCTTTGACTTGGGAAGTGAACTTGCTGAGGCAGGAAAGTGATGAGAGGAAGCTGACTTTAGTAGTTTTTGTTCAAGGTCCTTTATCAGATGACTATAAGTATATAAGTACTCATACATTGCCTTACATGTCACAGGTGCTAAATAAATGTTTGATCATTGCAATTGAGATTTAAAAAATGCTAATTATAGTGTTTAAAATAGTGTTTATATTGCTTTTTTTCTTTTTAAATTTCCTGAGGCTCCAGGAATTTCCTGAGTCTCTAGAGTCTTTTAGCTCAGGGGAGCAATGGCCTTGACTAACTATAAATAGATCTTGTCATTAAACTGTTAATCTCAAGGAACCTCTGCTTACAGAATTCTTTATAACTTTGAGCATTTAGTAGGCATTTAGTATGTACATGCATAAATACAGTTAGATGCTCTCTATGAAACCTCTTAATCCTCACCACAATCCTGTGGTGGAGGTTCTATTATCCCATTTTACAGTTGAGGAAACGGAGGCACAGAAAGCTAATTTGTGCCAGACTACAAAACTAACTAGCAGTACAACTGGAATTCCAAGGCAAGGAATCTGCCTCCTCAACCTACTTGTTTAATCACTGCTGCATCATTTCAATGCTGATGTGAGGAGAAAATTGAATAGTTGTGTGAAAAGTGTCTTTTCAAATGTAGGTCTTGGGAGAAAAATAGGCATATCTTTTTCAATACTTCCTTCCAAAAATTGAAGTCAAGAGGAAATTGACTCAGGAAAAAGAGTTTAAATATAATTTTATTTAATTGGTTTAAATGAGCTTTTTGTTTATGCTCAAAAGCCATGAAGAGCAGGAAGAAAAGCATGTATGGAAAATCACGTCCTGTGTGGAAATGTCATTGGGAAATTAGCAGGGATGCAGCTGACTCTTGTTTTTTATTCTGCTATTATAAGAAAAAAGATGCAGAAAAATCTTTTTCTCATACAGAAAGAAACTAATTAGTGATAGCTGAGCTCTGATGAAAAGTGAGAAAAAACCAGCGCCTCAAGTCTAAGGATTCATATAAACTCAAACTCCTAACAGGAGATATTAGTATCAGTATTATTAGATTGCTTGAGTGGTTTCTGATAGTTTTGGATTACATTTTTAAATTGAACTCAAAATTAGCCATAGTAAATGATTTTGTTATGTTGTAAATTGCCTTCACATTGGTTCCATCTCATAGCAACCCTGTATAGGGTTTATGAGGAGCATTTGGTGGGTTTGAACCTCTAACGTTGCATTAGAAATCCAGAGCTTATCCTACAGCACTATACCAGGGTTCCTGGAAAACTTTACATGCAAATAATGTAATATGTACATGAAATTAAATGACTTGCCAGGTTAACCAGCCCTCTGCATTCCTTCCATAAAGCCTATTGGTGGTGGTGGCTGTGTGCCGTGGAATTTCAACTCATAGCGACCCTGTACAGGGTTTCCAAGGATGTAAATCTTTACAGAAGCAGAAAGCCTCATCTTTCTCCCGCGGAACTGCTGGTAGTTTCGAACTGCTGACCTTGCGGCTCGCAGCCTGATTCATAACCACTACGCTACCAGATCTCCTTGACTGATACCTCCTAAGTGGGGAGTTCTTGAGGCTAACTGGCTTTTCCCTAGTATATCACTTCTTGTTGTTAAGTGCTGTTGCATCGATTCCTGATACATAGCAACACTGTGCAGTTTTCAAGGAGCAGCTGATGAGTTTGAACCACTGATCTTACAGTCCAGTGTTTATCTTACAGTGCCCACACCAGGACTCCTTGTCACTAGCTGAGTTATATGTTTGACAAGAGTTACTGCAAGTTTCAACCTATTTAGCTAGTTGTGTCAGGAAATGTTACAATGTAATTGAAGTAAATATTGTAGAAGTGGGAAAATGTGTGCGTAGAAAGAAGAGTCCCTGGATGATGCAAACAGTTTGCTCAAGGCTGGAGGTGAGGTGTAAGTCCACTAAAGGTTCCTTGGAAGAAAAGCCTAGTGATCAGCTTTTGGAAAACCAGTCCCCAAAAGCCTATGGAGCACAGTTCAACTCCGATAACATGGGGTTGCCATGAGCTGGAATTGACTCCACCACACCTGTTTCGAGAGCAAGCTTTGGAAAGACTCCAGAAAAGGAGACATGATTAAATACTGGGTGGATCAAACTAGCGAGGGAAAAATTGTGAAGCTTTTGTATCCAGACTATCACACTGATGTCTTTAGTTCTCACTCAATATTAAATAAATGAAAACTATAGTTCACAGCCACTACAATACCGGTGTGGGTAATTCAAGAAAAAAACACATAAAACATTTTTCTCAAAAAGTTGTTGGCCTTCATAAACAAGTTATCGAATGCACATGTAAACGGTTGGAGTTAAAATTACATAATTAATGCACATATTTGAAAAAGTATGATACTTCATTATCAGATAAAAAAATTAATTATCTATCTTACTACCATTTCTGGTTGGGTCTGTTAACAAGCTGCTACTGCTTATACTTCCTAAAAGGGTCAGGTGTTGAATTTGGGGCAAGATGTGGAAGGGGATGGGACATGCTAGGGAAGGAATAAAAACTTGGCATGCTATCACATTTCTTGCCTAGTGATAGGTTCTGTGAGGGCTGTCAAAGTAGTCAGCACTGAATGTAGTAGCGTTGGTATGGACTTAGTTTTACTGACATTCTTTAGTGCCTTTGTGCTTAGAGTCTGTAATGGGCCATTCTATGTTGTCTTATTCTCTAGTTGTTGATGTCTTGTTATTTTTATTGTAGGATTTTATATTATTTGTTTTGGGAAAGAGATCAAAAATACCTTTTGATATCACATCCCCTTCTAGACTCTTAATCATACAGAAAGGGCTCAATAAATATTCATTGAATGATTAATTCTTTGGTAGGTATCATTTCAGTGGTAATTGTCGTTTGCTGTGAAAGATTCTAGAAAAGTTTATTGTACTGGTTGTCATTGTTGTTTTGTGCTGTGGAGGTGGTTCCGACTCATAGCAACGCTGTACAGGGTTTCCGAGCCCGTCAATCTTTGTGGGAGCAGAGAGCCTCATCTTTCTCCCGCGGAACAGTTGGTAGTTTGGAACTGCTGACCTTAAGGTTCGCAGCCTGATTCGTAACCACTACACTACAAGAGCTCCTTTGGATAAAGCTAGACTACTTATATTTTACTGTACTTTTTATAAGAGAGTATTTTATAGGGGGTGATAGATTGTATAGCGCTTACAAAACAGTACAAAAGAATAGTTTTCAGTGAATTCCACGCTGCTCATTCTGACTGATGGGAAGGAGTCTATCTTCAGGTTAATGAAAATAAATGCACTAAGAGCTCAGAACTTGAAAACAATAACCACCCCTCACTTGCTCCCCTTTGCACTGAGTCCATGAAAAGTTATTATTATACCTTGTTTTTCCTAAAGGATTGCTGTTGGTGAAGTGGTTAAGCATTCAGCGGCTAACTGAGAGGTTGAGGGTTCAAAATCATGAACCACTATGTGGCAGAAAGAGGTGGCAGTCTGTTTCCGTAAAAATTTCAGCCTTGAAAACCTTATGGGGCAGTTCTATTCTGTCCTATATGGTCATCCTGTGTTGGAATTCAGCTCTTCACAGCAATGAGTTTGGCTTTTAAATTTGGGGGTGGGTGGGTAAGTTTTCCTAAATATTATCCATCAGTGGACATACATAGTCTGGTCTTTTTTGACAGATATGTTTCCAAGTTAATTAACAGGTTGATCCTTAAGGTTTATATTCTTGTACGTTTGAAAAGCACAAATCAATCTCTGTGAATCCATTTTCCACAGGAAAATAGGACCAAATCCCAGCTTCCATGTTGGGTCCCCATTCTTCTACCATACTGTGCTCCTCACTCTGAGACCCTGCTCATGAGGTTGGCTCACTTCAGCACCTGCAGCAAATTTTGAAGCCGTATTAATAGACCCATCTACTTGGGATTAGGACTCTGTTACCTTTTCCTGCAGACGTTCAATAATAGCAGCTAGGTTAGCCTCACGATTTTCCTTAATTTGTTCCATTTTCAGGATCAGCTTTTCCTCCGCCATTTTGCTGAAGTTGTTGTTTTCTTCCAAAGCCTTCTGAAGGACTTCTCGCTCGTGTTCCCTTTTCTCTGCCAATTGTTTCAGCACCTGGGCCTCCTGAGACTGGAGGGAAAAAAAAACACATTCATTTTATAATCACCCAAACACAAATCTGGCAGATTAGTGATCTACTGATTACAGGCGAGGAGTCCTAGTAGCACTGTGGGTTAGGAGTTGGGCTTCTAGCTGCAGGGCTAGCAGTTCAAAGCCATCAGCTGTTTTGTGGAAGAAAGATGAGATTGTTGGCTGCCATGCAGATTTACAATCTTAGAAACCGTATTTAGGGTTGCTAGGAGTCAGCATTAACTTGATGGTAGTGTATGTTTTTTAGAAATTCAGGCAAGGAGTTCTGATGACAAAGGGGTTAAAGCACTTGACTGCTAATGAAAAAGTCACTGGTTCAAACCCATCAGTCACTTCACAGGAGAATACTGTTTCAGTCTGTTTCCATAAAGATTTACAGCTTTGCAACCCTGTAGGGTTGCTATGAGTTGTAGTAGACTTGTTGAAGATGGGTTTTATTTTGGTTTGTGGTTAATTTCAAATGAATAATACTTCTATCCCTGAGCACGGTTGTCAAGTCTGTGGCAAGCTGGGAAATGTGATTAGCTAGATTTTCAGCTCTTATTTTTATTTTAGATGACTGTCTTAGAAGAACCATTTAACCCTCATTAAACAGTATTTTTTTTAACTTGCTGCCTTGCATTTATGCCATATGAAATGCACTAATTAATCATTGGATGGCAACATTCCATGGAAGCCTCGGGAAAATGGGCAAGGACTACGGTGTGCTCTGGTCGAGTTTTTGTCTCATTTTCTGGTCAGCTGCAGGCTGGCCCCTACAATGAGCTTTTCAATTGTTATCAATCAAATCTCCAGCCAATTAATTTTATCCTTTTATCTCACACCTCTTTTTTCTTCCCATAAATCAAATTCTCTTTGGAGACCTGAGAACAGGGCAAATTTAACACCTTATTGACCACAGAGAAGAAAAAGTCTTTGTTCTGATCACTCTCTTTAATATGCTGATGTTACCTGGGTAAACACTGAAACCCTGCAGTTTCTCAGTGATTAAAGCAAAAACTTCACTGTCAGACTTACCCTCTACCAGAATATTCCCACACTCAATGCACTAGAATTTCCTTGCAGTATTAGGAGATCACATGGCTTTGTACAATGTATACTAACAATTACTGGGGAGCTTAAAGAAGCAGGTATCTGGTCTCCACCCCCATGGGTTCTATGGCCTGTTTGTTGATGAGGCCCAGGAATCAGTAGGGTTGTTTTTTTTTTTTTCATAAGCAGCAGTAGGATTTTAATGATGGTGGCTCACAATCTTCCTTTTGAAAAACATACTGCCACAGGCTTTGGTGTCAAGCCTGTGTTCACGTCATGTGTAACACTGCATGTGTAATTTAACTTCATTGCACAGTCATTTTATCCTCCACAATACTGATCTATTCAGGTTTAAGATTAAATTATTATGTGCTCATTGTTACTAAGTCATTCTTTAGGATTAACTGATGTTCTGAGGTGAACCTTCAAAGGAATAGATGCAAATATCTGTACAATGATAGGATGAAAATTCTGTGAACAGTTAAGCAGTGCTTGTGTTTGAAAGCATTAATAGAAAACCATTTTAACTGATGATTGTGATGGTGGGTGTTAGTTCAGAGACCTTGGCTTATGACAGTGTGGTGTCTGACAAGGGAAGAAACTTATTAATTAGATAAAATTCTATAGGAATGATAAAATTCAACAGATTTTATTGATATGTTTATAAGGAAGTTTTTCGGGACTAGGTTTAAGTCCAGTGGATATTAGACAAAAATCCTGGGAGCCCAATTAATACATTAACTTCCAGTGGTTTCATTGACATCTTTAGTGGATGTATTCCATTCTTGCTAGGTTTTAGCTTTCAGAAACCTAATATAAAAATAAGGACAAAATGTTAATATAAAGTAAGTCCTAAATTAAATAGAATAGAGCCTTTCTGGAAGAAACACGAAATATTTTCCAGTTAGTTCATCCTCCTGCCTCTAGATGGGACTGTTGGTAAACCATCCTACATAGATTTTGCTTATTTCCTGTAATCAGGACTGCTGAAGTATTTGTTTATGTGTGTGTGTATGTATGTATGAGAGAGAGAGAGAGAGAGAGAGAGAGAGACTGACTAAAAATTGTGTGTTTAGAGTTGCTCTGAATAGTCTTCATGAAATTATATATTTGATGATACCTATCTCTTAGGGTTATTTGTCAGGATCAAATGAAGTAATACTTGCAAGGTATTCAGCATCATATCTAAGATAGAGTGAGTACTAAGTAAATATGTTGTTGTTAAGTGCCCTTGAGTTGGTTCCGACCCATAGTGACCATGTATAGGATTTCCAAGGAGCAGCTGGTGAGCTTGAACCACTGACCTTGTAGTTCACACGGCTTTGCAGTCTGGCACACTAACCCACAGTGCCACACCAGGACTCAAGTTATTATTTAAAGAGAAACTCAAGACACTAGAAAATGGTGCCGACAGAATCTACTGGTACAGTTAAATTCAAATATAAGATTTTAACTATTTCATATGTCTATAAAGAATTTGTTCAAAATCCCTTAATTACGGATAGATAATAGATTCAGGGTCTTCCTGGCTAATGTCTGAGTCCTTCACTAATTCTCTCACCCCACCTCACACATGTCCAGTAAATGGACTGTACTGATAGAAAGTCACATCATGAAGTAAACACCTGAAATAACTGATTGCTCGTTTCAGAAAGTCCAGTTTGAATCTATATAACTTCTAGTCCTGAAAACCTTTTAGTAGGAGAAGGCTGGTTATCACTGAATAAAGATGTGATGTATCCAAGAATTATAGATTGAATGGAGCTCTAGGTTTCTCTTGTAATGGCCCTAAAACCATGAAATGGTTTCCAAAAACACAACAAATCAAAATAAAGCAAAACAAAATACAACTTCTTCAAAATTCTCCACAGCATTGCTTTATAAGTGTTTTGCCACTTTAATACACAGATCATGTTCCTTTGGACAACACATGTCCATAAGTCAAATCTGCTAAAGTCAGATAATAAAAAACAGTTGCCATGGAGTTACGTTGACTCATAACAGCCTCTTGTGTGTTACAGTAGAACTGTAGCTCCACAAGGCTTTCAACAACTGACTTTTTTAGAAGTCAGTCATCAGCTTCTATTGTGAAGCACCTCTGGGTGGACTTTCCTTTAGCAGTTGAGTGCATTAACCATTCAAACCACCCAGGATAGATGTGAAATTTGTTCAGTGTGTTAGCAGTTCTTCCCCTTTCCTTCTCCGTGTTTCCAATGCTGCCCAGAAAGATCCAGCTGGATTGTTCATGGTTATTTGCTTCAAAAGGACCTATTATAGGAACCCATGTGAAATGAGCCCCAACTTGTATTCAGAAAACCTGGGTTTGAGTCTGGCTTTGTTGAGTGTGGCTAAGCCTTTGGAGGTATTTTGGAGGTGGACAGCATGGCAGAGCCACGTGACTGCTGCTTTCACACGGTATCAATTCACAGAGCTAACTCCCCAGTGGCCACCCCAGGGGCCTGCCCAATCTGTAATTTTCATATGTTCAAATTACCTTTGGCACTCTGTTAAATTGAGCTTTAATGTTTATATTTGAATTCATAATTTTTCTTGGTGAAAGAGGCAAAGTCAGGAGGAGATAGGGGAATAGGATTAAGAAAGGAACAGCTTGGGATGAAAAGAGTACTCTAACAACACATATTTTTTCAAATTTCTTGCCTTGGTGAGGCACATTTGGTCTGCATGAACAAACACTCCCATAGCTCCCATGATAAGTAAGGACAGAAGCCTATTCTATTTATTGGAGCACAGCATTTGCGATGCTTCCCTTAATGGTGTTAGTATGTTCACAACCATTGGGGTTCAATAAGATTAAGTAGTTTGAGTATCAAATGCATCCCTTCAGCACAGTTAATGGGATGAACAGAACACAAGGCAGTGCAGACCTTGATTGCCTCTGAGACTACTGCTAACCACAAAGATCTGGAAATTGATCCAGCTACACTTAGGTGCCGATCACTCCTGTGGTTACTTTCTTTTATACTGGATAGGATTGTTATCCATTATACCTTCTTGTGATCTAATAAGTACCAATGTTTTAAATATGTAAAGTTCAAGTCCATGTAGAAAAAATATATAGTATTATGGAAAAAAATTCTTTACTATGAAAATTCATTTGACTCCCTGTTCACAAGTTCAAAAGTTAATTCTTCCAAGGGGTTAATAATCTTTGAGGCCTTTTACCTCAATTCCTGAAGTCTGTAATTCCACTGATGTATATAGTCATCATCAGTCTTTGTTTATTTTTACACAGCTTGGCATCCACTATCGCTGCTTGTAACTTCTCCAACTCTGCTCCTTAGGACAAATGGACTCTCTCATTAAACTAGTTGTTGTGGAATTGATTTGGACTGATGGCAAACCATGCATATCAGTCTAGTGCTGTGTTCCACAGGGTTTTCAATGACTGATTTTTCAGAAGTAGATTGCCAGGAGTTTATTCCAAGGCACTTCTGGGTACTCTCAAACCTCTGATCTTTTCTTTAGCAGTTGAGTATGTTAACCATTCAAATGATCTAAAGTTTAGTCTTCTAGCTACAGCCTCAGAGAAGAAATTTGGTGCTCATTGCACTGTTTCCATGAATAAATGAATAAGCATTTATTCCAGAAAACTGTGCTAAAACACGACATACAATGAGCAAGGCTGTAGAATGAAAACAGGTGATATACAAGAGTGTAAGCATTTTCCTTTATGTTTGGTAGAAATTCTCACCATATATTCAAATAGTTTTTCTAATTCCCTATGTATACTGTGAATACATTGGCAGATTTTCAGAAAGGAATTCTGATGGATTGGACTAATAGGAGGGTTAGAGTGGGATTTGCTGAAAGTTACTAAAAAGAAATTGTTCAAGAGAATCATATCTGACCTTGGAAGGAACACTGCTGAAAAGCATGTACCCAACATAGAAGGTCATTGAAATACTGAAATAGAAAATTAGGGCAAG